TCTCTGGGAGCGAACCAACCCAGCAGGAACCGATTGTGAAACAAATATGCAGGAAGAAATGGAGATGGATTGGCTGGCCATACTCTGAGGAAACAAACCATCAAGTGACATCACTAGACAAGCCCTCAAGTGGGAAGCGGCGAGTTGATCGTCAGTACAAGGGTGACTTGGAGGAGGTCATGTGAAGAGGAGATGAAAGAATGTGGGCAGACATGGAGCCAGGTGAAGACTCTAGCAGAGAACCGAACGCAATGGAGACGCACGGCTGAAGCCCTCTGTTCCTCTAGGAATTAAAGGAAACAATAATAATAATAAAAACTCGATGAAATCAATAAATCTCTTTCGCAATAAATTCGGTTTTAGGTTAGCAAGTTACTTACGCTAAATGTATAACCTTTCTTTTGAATACTTCCTTTTGTTTTATCATTCTAGTAGAAATAGTTTTGACCTAGAATTCTGAAAAAATTAAGAATTTAAACTGCAGTTTAAAAGTATTATATACTGAACAATTATTAAGTCCCTGCAATCATTTTTAGTCAAAGGACTGTTTAAAAGTGTGTCATATAAACAACGTGATGATGAGATGTTTGAAAATTTAGGATGAAAAGATCGATTGAGAGAGGGTTTTTTTCTCTAATTCTATAAAGCGAATAAAGAGAAAATCACGAATATCGATGGGAAAAAAATGTTACTAGGCAAATTTAAAAGTCAATCAATCATGGAAATGAGAGACCACAATGATCACAAATGTCCTACGCACTCATCAGTTGAAGTAGTAGGCGAAAAGCGTTATGTTAATACTGAAAACACCATTTTAATTCAGAATGTTCCCTTAGATGGTATACAGCTGTTTCAGATCGTCGGTGTACACTGGTGAAGAGTCCCAAACCAAATCTGCCTGATTCTCAATGCTTCCCTGACTGATATTGGTTCGTGAATATTAATCAATATTAGAATTACTCAAGTGTTGGTTTGCAGGGATTTCATCATGAACTGACATCGGTTAGAGAACGATTGAAAAACCTGGGACTCTTCATCAGTACTCACCCACCATCAGGATTTGAACCCAGGACATTCTGGCTCCAAGGCGAGCCAGCTCGTAGACCATTAAGCCACTGGGACCCTATCAAATGGCCAACTCATGAATTTTTACTTCTGCCAGTTGATGATATGGTGAGACCACCAGTGAATGTCATCTCTGGCGAGTATTTGTCTTCACACCAGACCTGCTGTACGTCACTGGTCATGACTTCCCACTGGAACCGAGTTAACTACCTACCTGAATAGGGCCAGTCACTAGTGAGCATCTCATTGATATTCAAGTGTTGATTTGGAGATATTTGATTTGATTGGTTACAGGATTTCATTCCATTAAAACTGCGAGTTGGTCGCGTGAATTTACATGTGATTAAGCATACAAATATTGGATATAATATGCGATCTGCTCAATAATTAGTGGTTTCCGACTTCGATTATTGAAGGTTGTGAAGCTATTTTACCTTTCAATAAAATGGAATATTTTCGGTGTACAATTTCAACTTGATGCATACAACAGAACAAAGCTAAGCAGAGGTATTTCATGTAGGTACTTAGTGAACCCTCCGCTGAGGGATCATTCGATTACAGCCTGCCTCATGTAAACCAATAATTAGAGTTCAAGTTGGATAGCGTTATAAGGAGATGACGTTTATTTGAAAAATTTGACCTATACGTGCCATGCATTTCAAACATTCTTATCAGATATCAAAATGATATGTTCGTAAATAATTTATTATTACATTTAATCATCCTTGATAATCCCTTCCATGATCAATGCCCATTGTCTCCAATTATTCTCAACTGTCGTTCTGCAGAGATATCATTACTCTTAGGTAAGATAGCGAATTGACATCAGTTAGAGAAATATTCAAAACCAGGAAATACTAGACAGTTGCTTAGTTCTAGTTTGAAACTCTTCGGCAGCACTTACCCATGAATCTTTGGGGGATCCAGTCAAACACAGTGAAGTTACCACATGAGGCGCTTAATCAGTCAGACACTAGGATGGAATCTCATTACTCTGTTTATTTTAATCAATCCAATTTTTTCATTTTCAGACAAAGTGACAAGGAAATTTGGGATCATAATTTCCGGGAAATAATATTCGAATACGTCATAAACACTCTTCTCTAATGTCGCTGTCAGTTCCCTGTAGTGCAGATTTTGTCTTTCGTTTCAAAAGACAGTTAGCAGATCTCTGCAAACATCAAATCGTGGTCAAGATTATCAGTGGGAGGTGGCTGGTGACCACGCAGAGAATCCTAGAAACTCACTTCACAATGAAATAAGCCTTGCAGATATATTGTAGACAGATAATTAAAGCTTCTCAATCAAATCATTCATCTTAGAGAAAACAATTGCATCAGAGTCATCTCAGCATTATTCATCGAGTGATAAAAGCTATCAACAGTGATCAGCTGGCTATACATTGATAAAAGAAATAATTTTCAATTGTTGGTTTATAAGGATTAGATTTGTTTTGGCGAGTTTGATTACGGATTGATATCAGTTAGAGAACCATTGAAAACCAGCACTGGAATAGTGGACAGCTGTTTCATCCTAGTTTTTTGGGGAATCATCAGCAGTACGCACCCATCGCCAGGGTTCGAACAGAGGACCTTCCAGTTACAAGGCAAGCTAGCTCGTATAGCATTCAGCCACTGGGGCCTGATTCAATGACCAGCCCATGAATTCTAACTTCTACCAGTTCGTGATATAGCGCGTCTACCAACTAATGTCGTCGGTGGGACATCCATCCTCACACTTGACTGAATGAATCTCACTGGTCACGACTTCTCACTAGAACTCCAGGCAACTCCGTCCTGTCCAGCAATCCATGGTTTTCAATGGTTTTGTAACTGATACAAATTCGTGATAAACTTGTAAAAACAAATCTAATCCTTTCAAACCAACTACTGAACATTAAAATCAGTCAAAATCCCTATAAAAGTCATTATCTAAATATAAATCTCCAGCTCAGCGGTGGCTACAGGATGGATGTTCTGAAGCCTTAATGACGAGTTGTAGCCAGTAAGGTTAACGATAAAAAGGTGAAGTAGATGCTCATCCATGTTGCTGATTGAAGACAGAGCTGTGTCACGAATTGACAAATGCAAGAACCCACAAGTTAATGGATAGTTAACTAGCTGACCACGTCCCCATAGAGTCGTGGGTGGGATCGTGAATGCTCAGTGCCTAAAAGATTCCGGATCTACAACGAGAGAGCTGTCCAGTGCTTATTAGTTTTTACTGATTCCCCAACTGATTTCGCATCATGCTGTTACCTACACTGAAACTAATTCACATCCGTAAAAGACACAAAATCGAAGTAATTATAAGTGTATTTCCCACTTGATGAACATTTTTAACCGGTGTTAATTGACAGTAGTGTATATTATACCTCCTGATATCCATGCCATAATGGAATAACCTTTTTGAATTTTGGATTCACTAGTTGGTTCATAACAGTCCGCCGAGGGAGAGGGCTCTCCAGTGGTTGCGCCCAAGAATGATACTGCATGCCGGTCTTGGTTTTCCTGAAAACCAGTACTAAGTCAATGGGTGTACCATTATGTGAACTGTGCGTCGGTGGAACAGTGGTTGGGACGCTCGCCGACCGTGCAAATGGTCCGATTCCTGACCAACAGATACCCGATATCAATGGTCGGCCTTCTAAATTTGGGCTACCAATATCACATGCTGAGAAATCCATACTTGTACCAAAATACTGAGTGGAATCAAGTTATAATAAAAAAAATCTTCTAGCATGCAAAGCTCTGGGTTCAGATGCTTGGATCATACCTACGGTGAAAACTAAGTCTATATTCTCAGCTGCATAAAGCAAGGACAGCATTTATTTCTTTGGTTTCTCATCAGATGCTGACATCTTTCTCAAGTTAACTCTGTCTAAACAAATTTGCTTGTATCTGTGGGAGCAGTTACACCAGAAAAAAACAGAAAGAAGGGTAAACCCCCAATTTTCTGAACATTTGCCAAAAAGCCGTCGTCTCAAAGAAAAATTAACGCTTTCAGTAGTGCTGCTAACACGCATCTCTCTGATACGGGTCATGAGGTGAACACCGCAAAATCCTTAAAAACTGTCAACAGAAAAACTAGCTGAATTCTCCTCAAGTTTGTCAAAGCACTTTCTACTAAACGCTTGGAATCCACTTTATTTGTTCAGAAAGAAGCACTGTATAGCTACTCAATTTATCAGTTACTCATCATCTTACGGACATTTTGTCTTTATTACGTAACTACTTTACCATTTTGTGCACACATCGAATTCTTGGTCAACTGCCATCATCCGAAAATTGCAAGTATGTTAAAATTGTTTCTGTACAAACACTTAATAATATCTTTAATCTGTAAGCAGCTGATGAGAAACCAATGAAATAAATGACGGTACCATCTTATTCTGTACGAACTTTTGTGCTCGCTTTATTCAAATTCTTAAAGGGGAATAAATGCATGAAAATTTGCCTTCCTGCAGAATCTTTCGAACTGTTAGTTGATTTAGCACTGAAAGTAAAAGCAAAGTCTTTTAAATTTCATTACTTTACTTTCCGAGTGGATTATAGTGTCATTCAAACGTGAGCTTGGAAATTTCAACAACAGCAGTTTTACTCTCAAGCCCAACCTTCTCTCTTTACCATGGATTACTTACTACCAGGTTAGAGAAGCTTAGGGATACGTTGGTCGTAGATCAGATATCACCGACGCCCTAAAGGAAAACTATTAAGCATTGTAAACTTCAGATTTCAAGCATTCCGTTTATTTACTATTGACGATTATTCTTTATTGCGTCTCCTGCTTTTTAAATGAACAATATCCTAGTAGGATAAATCTGATTGGTCGACAACATCAACCAATAGAAATTAAGCAATTAAATGATGTCATATTTTTTTAAACAACTAACTCTAAAAGATGTTTATTATTCATTTTGTTTGTTGTTTTCTTTTTTTCCACTTAACAACAACACTTTGGATTTATTTCATGTTTTGAACTAGCAAAAAACATGCACACCTATTTCATGTTCATGCATTATCAATGTTTAATATTGATCTCCATTATTTATTGAAAGTGGAAATGTTCTTAAAGATATGTCACACATTCGAAGCAAATCATTTGATGAGAGTAATTCACAGGAATCCACTAAACCCTATCGGTTATTCTCGTATTCATCACTGCCTAAGATAAATGATGAAAGGTATACAAAGTGTAGAAGTGATTGTTCGAATAATAATAAAAGCACATATTTTACACATGTCAGTGATTCCACAGGCAGTGGTTGTCGTCTAAGCTATGCAATCATGAAAGGAGGAGTTACGGAAAGTGATGAATTCTGCAAGATTCGACCAAAATCATTGAATGAAACATCACCAAGAAAATGGAAATGGTTATTTATTAAGAGTAATTCAAAATTCTCCTTATCCTCATCAGTATCCATATCGACTGGTTGTAATAGTATCAGTAGTAATACTAGTAGTAGTACACGAAATATCTCCACATCATCAGCCTCATCATTTCGACATCGAAAATTTGGACTGAGTGGATATCTACCGAGTATTTCATCGTTTAAGTTTAAATCTTCAAAGTATGGTGGAAATAATAATAATCAGACAGTGAATAAAAATGGTGGTGTGAACAGGAGTAAATATTTTCAAAAGTTCAATAAACCATCGCCTTTGGTAAGTTTTTGTTTAGATGAATTTAAAACAATTAGTTCCCTTTATGAATTTAAATAAAGCAATAAGAAGACCTAATTTGTCTGAATCGTGTAATGTGCATATTTGCGCAACACATTTCGAACAATCTGATCACACACGGTCTTGTCATAGGAATATATATGAAATTAATAAAGAGTTAAGAGGTGAGAAGACAGGCTTAGGTCAAGTTAAAGGACATATTCAAGGTTAGAATAACAATGAAGACCACTAAAGCAAAAAGCAGAGGTAACAGTAAAACTGCTATGGTATCAAAACAAAATTTTACCAAAGAAGGTTTAATGTGATGACGAATTGTTTCTGAACGCATAAAGGTGGCTTAAACTTTCTAATTGGCAGCTAGGGCTTCCACAAACTTAAGGATACGCCCCAAACACGTTTTATAGATAGGTTTAAAAGATCTGTTAACGTCAATTTTATGTCCTGTCTCTATAATATGTTTCGCAATAGAAGAGCTAGGTCTCGTGTTCTCACCATTAATAGATTCTGAAGATTCCATTTGTTTCTGGAGCCATTTAGGAATATGCTCTGAAGGTAGCCATTACTTGCAGAGATCGATGAGTCTTTCCTATGTATGTGTTTCCACACGTCCATTCAAACTGGTAAATACAGTGGGATGTGACGTCATTTTTCGCATTTTCGAAGGGCTTAGATAGATATATTGGCTTTATATTCTCAATTATAATGATATTAGCTGCATAAAAAGTCTTTGTGACAGCAGCGTTCAGTCTTTGTCTAGTTGTCAAGCTGCTTTGATGCCCCACATACGGTAGCTTGATGTACACGTCTTTCTGAGGGGCGATTTGGAGAGTGGGTCTTGCTGATCTGACTACCTTATATCTCCTGATGAAGTTGTCTGGATAATTGTTATCAACCAGAGTTTGTGTCAGCTTTCTTTCTTCTTCATCAAGTGTGTCTTCAGTGCATATTCGTTGGATTCTACAGAAGAGGCACCTTACTAAGGCTCTTTTGTACCGAACAGGGCAGAAACTGTGGTAATTATGATACTGTCCTGTCCAGGTAGGTTTTCTATAAATAGATCTTTTTATTGACCCATCAAGCCGTCGACTAAGCAATATGTCTAGGAAAGATAAACAATTATCTTCCTCTTCTACAGATGTAAGTGATATGGTATTCTGAACTTCATTCATTCAATTTAAAATTGAGGTGGCAGAACAAGACTTGTCACTGATGATTACAATATCTTCTGCATACCTTCTATAGAAGGTACATAAACTTTTCATGGTTTTACAGTGTCATGATTGTTATCCAACCCTCATGTTCTAAATAGAATGAAGGTTACCTGAAATCGCCATTAACCGGTTCTACAAGAATTTGCCTAGATAAGCACAGTAGAAGCACTTTAGATGCAGCTACCATCTTACATCGTACATAACATTGCTTCCAGTCTAAACAAGGGGGCTAAATTTGTTCGTTGTGCCTTCCTAGACTATACATCTGCTTTTGACTCGGTCCCTAGGGACATCTTATTAAATAAACTTGCTGCAAGTCAAACAGAATGTTGGGCTGTTAACTGGTTACATTCCTATTTCTCAGAAAGAAAGCAGTACACCGTGTATAAAGGGAAGTCTTCCACTTCATTGCCTACTGAAGCTGGTGTCCCTCATGGTGCTGTCCCTTCTCCTTTTCTTCTTTCTTTCTTCTTACATGACTTGCCTCACTCTGACGAAATAAACTTTGTGATGATTTAACAGTTTCAATGGCTGTTAACTCCCAGCTAGATTGTACCAAAATAAATAGCTTTCTGTCGGGAGTCAGTAAATGATCTGAGTCTAACGGTCTTAAACTGAATCCTTCTAAATGTCAAACTGTTCATTTCAGCTTAAGATGTAAAAGACAGTTAAAAGAAGCCGTCGATTCTAATGACAGTTTTAAGATTGACGACAATGATATAGGAATTAAATCAGAAATTAAGTATCTTGGACTTATTCTCTCTTCTGATCTCTCCCGGTCTTCCTATGTCTTAGTGATCTCCAGTAAAATATTCCGCCTGACATTTTACATTAAGAAATTAAGGCACTCGGGTATAACTCAACCCCTCCTCTTACAGTTTGTAAACTCTTGCATCCTACCTATTCTTCTTTATTGTTCACCCTTATCCTTTCCTGGTTTGCTGAAAAACGACTATGTCACAATTCGTGTAATGCTGAAGACTGTCAGTAGGGTGAGTGATGTCCCAGTGGACTACATAGTTAACGTCGTTGTCGATAGGCATTTGACTTCGTGCAGTATATTTGCCAAAGGGATTTTGTCTGACTTGGAGCATACACTTCACCCTCAGCTTTCACCTTGCATCTCCTCAGGTAAAACAAGAAGTAACTTCAGAAAACTGTATGCTCGCACGTCTAAGTATAAAAATTCTATGATACCATACTTGCCACGTATTTTATGTGATGAAAATAGCGTCAGGCAAGAATTAACTAACCTTTATTTCATCTATTTAATGAACAATTTCCTCCATCCATCCTTATTTACCTTCAAGTTTTACTTTCATTATTTCCATTATATTTATGGTCCTGTTGCTTCTTTGTTTTACTTTCATAATTGCAAACACCAACTTATCTCTATGACTGCTATAATCTTTGATTTTCCCCTCACCATATCATGTAAAGAGAACATCATATTCAATATTTTTAATCATGCAAGGATTTGTATACCGCATCAACAATACTGTGTGAAACAAGCCCACAGAAATTTTCACTTGTATTATTATTATTACCTTAGCTGCTATCATTATTATTATTATTTCCATTTTATATGCTGCGTGTTTTTGACATTACCCCTATTTTAAATGTGGAAATTTTTCTGCGTGATTAATTTTACTTATAATTTGAGGAAATTAGATGCAAGATATTGTGATTAGTGCTGAAAATTCCATTCTGTATCACAAGTACTGTTTCTTGGAATAAAGTGAATCATTATTATTATTATATAGGGTCTATACCCTCCTATTTAAGTTCCACTCTTGGGACTACATAGTGTGTGTGTGATCCTACCTGAATGTCCTTTCAGCGTTTATCGAATCCTTCGGTTCATCTCCTTCCATGTATCTTCTGGGAAATTACGTTTTAACTGGTTGGCTGCTTTCCACAGTCAAGCTGTATCAAGCTGTCAGGAATCCTTTTAGGGTAGCGTGCCCTAAGTCTGTGAACTATGTAGGAGCACTGATGTGACAGTATTGTTTAAAAAACTTCGGACGCCGTAGTTATATGACGCATTCATTGAACAGTGATGGATTATTCATGAGTCATAGTGACACTTTACAAAAGTCTTTGAGAAGGAATGAGTTTAGTGACGTAAATTCATTTTTACGCTGAACTGGTATAATGAATGGTTCCTTGACTGCAGTATTTTAATTTGTTATGTTTAATTTTTGTTTGTGTGCGTCGGTGGCATAGCGGCTAGGACGCTCGCGGACCATGCACATGGTCCAGGGTTCGATCCCCGGCCGGCGCACTCCTTTACCTCACTAAGCCAGAAATAATGCTAGTGAAGAGGAAAGGTTGGGCATGAGGCTAGTAACCCCATCCTATAAAAATAAACACTGCTACAGAAACTTCAAGTCTCTCGCTTGAAGCCCTATGTTCCACTGGGAACTTGAAGGAATAAAAAAATTTCTGATTACAGCTTGATTCCACACCGTATTTTTCGTACAGGTATGGCATTTTAGGCATGTGATACCGTTAGCCCAAATTTAGCAGGTGGACCACAGATATCAGGTGTGCATCGGCAGGGGATCGAACTTCAGACCGTGTGCATGGTCGATGAGAGTCATAACCGCTGTACCACCGATAACCAATAGTCGGTCTCTTCAGACTCTGAAAAAAAACTCACCAGAATGAAACACAAGCCACACATCTCATGAATTTTAATATTTTTAATTAACTAAAATTTACCCTGATCTCAATAATTGCTTTCCAAAATCTTTGTTTACTCCTATGTAACGTATAATTATACGAAGCGATTATAAGTATTATCCTTTTTTACCTACCGTTTGTGTCACAACATCAAACAATGATAAAATAGCGGGAAAAATATCCCTGTTCTCAGATATATAGTCAGATATCAAGGCTATGCAGACGGCGAGTATGAAGTCCAGTAAATCGAGGGTAGTGAAATTATCGGGTAATAATTAATTCAGCCATGCGTCCGTGGCATAATGGTTAGGACTCTCACCTACCATACACATGGTCGGGGGTTCGATCCCCTGCCGACGCACACCTGGTATGGTATGGTCGGCCTGCAAATTTGTGCTACCGATATCATTTGCTGAAAATTACATACCTGTACCAAAAAATACAGTGTGGAATCAAGCTGTAATAAAAAAAAATAAGTCTGCAATGATTGACACCAGAGAGATCAATAATTTACAGAAAAACTCAGCGATTGCAATTCACGCTTTAACATAAAGCCACACATTAGAGTGAGGTAAAGCTAGAATTCTAAAAAGTTGTATAATTGGGTTAAAGGAGAGGTTGAACATTGAATATTAATTTGTCGAGTCTACACCGGACACCTGCAATAGGAGTGATGCAATAAAGATACTAGAGATAGATAATATATTATCACCAATGAGTCGAGGAGAGAGTAATAACGGAATTATATAAATGAAGTTTGAAAGTAATGTGAGTACCTTGATATACTTATGAGCAATAAATTGTGTTAGTAGTATCATCGGTAAGTAATCCTTTATCACTGTGTGTTTTTGACAGATTGATTCATACTCTACCGCAATCATCAGGTTTCATTCTTATACCTAGAAAACTGGTAGAGGAACTCTTCTCTCGACATTGAAATGGAAGAATATCTTTTTTCGAATAATATTTAGTGTTAAAATAAAATTAGCCCTTTTGTGAAATGTGACAACTCACTGGCGGAAACCATTGGGTACTGAGTACAACTCCCTCTCGCCCGATTTACTTAAGCCTAGGCAAATTAGCAAA